CCAGGGATATTGAAGAAGCGCTCTAGGTTTCTTTTGTCTTTTCAAGGGCATGCTTGGGGTTACATCATAATTAATATCAATTGTTTCAACATTTTCCTCTTCGATTCTAGTTTTTAGTTTCAATCACATTTGTGACTTCCACAACTTTTTCCTAAACTTCATCTTTCAATTCCAACTCCTTGTCCAGCAATTCAATTCTACCTTCATTAGATGGAGATGCAACGTGTTGGAACATGAACAATAACACAATTGCAAATGTCAAATTATATTAACATACAAATAGACATAAGTTATGAGGAAAAAAATAATAAAATAAAAACAAAAGTACTTCTTGATTTTTTGCTAAACTACGAGCAATAATATCATCAACTTTTAACCAATCATCTTCATGAAAATCTATTCTCCATTCAAATTTATTTCGACTGTCCTATCACTTTTTCCCACTGCATTGTCACTTTTTTCAATAGACATATCAATTTTTTCCACTGACTTGTCATTTTTTTAATGGCACCTCAACATCTTCTTCCCCACCACTCACTTCAAACTCAATACCTAAAGAAAAACTAAGGAAGTCATTAAACACTTGGTCTGTTTTATCAAGTAAACTCTTCACGCCACCCTACAAAAAAAGTCTCAAGACAAAAAAAGTCATAAAGACACTAAAAAAGTGACAATAAGTTAAAAAAGTGACAAAATTCAACAAAAAGTCACAAGTATTAATTTTAAACTTGAAAATTCATGAATAACTTCATTGGTTCTTCATTACCAACTAGTATCTTCTCTACTTTGTGTTTCAAATTTTGTAGACGGTCCATTAATTCTTCATTCATTTCAATCGTTTCTTCAACATCTTTTAGACAATCCTCAATTAGGTTTGATTGGATTTTAACCTTGAGATCTAGAATATGTTTTAAAATCAGATCATTTGATTGAACACCTTAAGTTCAACCTCGGGCATCCGTCTTAGGAGTTCTTCATTCGATTGCTGAATTTGCTGAAAAGAATACAAAAAATTAAGAAGTAATAAATTGAAAGTGCAGAGAAATAGTAAAAAGAAAAAATATCCACAAACCTAATCAATCTTCCCTTTATTTTTTTCTATAGACCTTTCAACTCAATCAACAAATTTTGCCTGTCCTCCATCCAGTAACTTTTTCTATTGAATAACAAGATGTGCTCAAAATTATCATCATCATGGTCACTCCCAAACCTTCAACAAATAAACCAACTGCATACTCTTCTTCCTTCTCTACCTCAAGAGGTATAATTCGATTTACTTCCAATTGAAATATATATAATCATATAAATAACAACAAAGAAAAATTTAAGGCATAATACAAATAATAAAATGACACAAAACTTACTTTAATCAAAATTAAAATGGTCTTTAACTCCACAGATGTCACATGATGATTAATATTCCAACTCAACATCCGAGGATGCTGAGATTTATGTTTAATGTAGTAATTCTTCTGAGTAATAGCAGGGATAGTTTCATAGATCCATAATTGAATATACTCTAAAAACTTCTTTCCAAAAAATATTATTAATTTTCAAATTAAATGCAAACTTTAGAGATGATAGAGTCAAACTAAAAATTTCTATATCCCACTGAAAAGAATTCAACTCCTCGAACTCCAAAAGATAAAAAAATAAGTCATCAACTCCCTTATGATACGATATACCAAAAAGGAAGGACGTAATCAAATAAACTATGTCTATATCAACATTTTTATCTACAGTGTCAGCACACAAATTTACGAACATTTCTTGGGACTCTTTTGTTGAGATGCTTTGGCATTCTTTGAAGTATTGTTCTTTCAAACAACTCTTCATTCTACATTGGGTAAGGTCGCTTCCAGTACACTTAGGTCTTGACATCAGATAGAACTCATCAATTGAAAGTCTTACAAATTCTTATAGATGTTGAGCCACATTTTATTTGGATTGGGCTATATAACTTGTCTAAGTAGCAATTGGTGTATCAATTATGGTTGCAATACTATTTTCTTCAAATCAATGAAGGCACCAAAACGTGTATTCTTAAATAAAATCCTCTGATATGGACTAAAATTTTCATTTAAGTATGTTATCACCTCAAGTTGAGATAATAATGTGATTTTTCAATTGAACCAACACGCTTTAAAGATTAATAAATCCTAATCTTACAAAAAGGAAAAAGATAAAGTTAAGACAAAATTCAACAAGGACATGTGTTAGGAAAGTTTGTAACATACACATTTAAAACATGTTTTGTAATGTACAACAACTAAAAGAGTGCATACATTAAAAAAAGTGACACAAGTGAATCTAGGCAAATATGATCATTCAAACAGTGATAAATATGCAACAAGTAAACTAAAGTTTAAGAATTGAATCATAAGAGATGAAAATATCCTTATACAAGCAAACTCAACCAAAACCAAGGAGTCAGAAAATGTCACATCCTTGTCTCCTAGTGCAGTGTCAATGGACTATAAGCTGAACTCTCTCCCTAATGACATGGACTAGTTGACACACAAAGACCGGAGAGGTTGAAGAACCTAAAAAAAGTGTTAACAATATAATTGAACCTAAATTTATGGCTGCCCCTACTAAAGTTGAACAATGGAATCATAAACTGCCTGAGTTCGGGGCTTAACTTGCTAGTGGTGGTCACAGAACATGTGCGGTCAGATATGTTATGAGAAGCGGCTCATCAAGTGGGTTGTGTTATAATGATATGTAGATTATTTTGTCTGAATTTCCATTCTAGATTCTACACTAGAAATATGGTTATAGATGACTAACATTTTTGTAATTTACAACAGCTAAAAGAGTACATACACTACAAAAGTGACAATAAATTAAAAAAAAAGTGACATAAAGTTAAAAAAAATGCATATACCAAAAAGTGACAAAAAACTATTAAAAAAAAAAATTTGACATAAAACCAAAAAAGTTACACAAGTGAATTTAGGCAAATATGATCCACTTACTTTAACAAGACATTGGATACAAAAGGACTAAAATTATACCCTCGAATTATATCCTATTATTAAAGCTTATTTCCAATTGCCAAAAAGAAAGAAAACGAGAAACTCTCTCATGCCAATTCCAACCACTCTCCCTCGTAATGTCACAGTCCAAAACATGAATGTCAACTCATATTTATCTAAGATCTTCTCTATCTAGAGTTTAACTTAAAACGGTGACAAAAACTCATTAAGAAAAAGTGACATAAATTTATTAAAACAAAAAGTGACAGAATATATATATATTTTTTAAAGTGACATAAACTAAAAGAAAAGCAGCAATCCCACATAATTTAACAAGGACAAAAAATTCAAACTGAGAAGATGATGATGAAAATGAGTAATCAGTTACTTTTGAAACATAGCAGAATAACATGCCAAATTGAAGTGGGGAAATAGCATATTCTCTTAATTTTTCCTCTCTCTCAACTTTCTATCTCTTGTTTGATTTAATTTGCTTAAGCTAGAGAGGTCACTGCGCTAGTGCTTGGGACAAGCTTGACTTGTTACTTTTGAGGTAATTAAGGTATTTTGCAATATATACTCACATAAATTGGAATTCCTAAACTTAAGAACATAGGTTGCACTTTGTGGTCATCATACAATCACATGATCCACTACATCATTTGACAATTGTATCATACCCACTCCACAGTGTCCACACACCACACCTCCAGACTCACCCTATCTTATGTTGCCTCCCATAATCCCTCATGCTGTTCTAATCTCCATAGTCCAATAATCCCAAACTCTTGTTTGAACTCTTCAATAAAATCCCCCACCTCTCTTAAAAGCAAAGTCAAGGACCAAAATAATGCTTTTGGATTCTCTAAATCTTTGATTCTTACAATGTTTTAGGACGTTCGTATACATATTTCATTTTACACAAAACAAAAGGCAGGAAACAGAACCAAAAAAGTTACAAATGAAATATCAAAACTAGAAAAATATCAAAATCGGAAAGGAACAAAAAATAAAATGTACGCACAAGAGTGGAAACTAGAGAAATTGATACTACCCTAGATTTATAAGATTTCTTCTTCTTCAAAAATGATTCTTCATCAATATTTCTTTTCCTTTTCAACCCACTTTCTCCAACCATTGTATAATAGGAGTTGGAGTTTGGTGTCGAAGTCGGCGTCGAATTGAATAAGTTAGAATTAGACTCAGATTTCTAGATTTTGATCGGAACGGGTTAAGGTTTGGACTATTTGGGATTTTTAGGATTGTTGTTTAAGATCTCCAAGAAAATGAGAAGGAAAAGACTGGAATTGAATGCAGACGAAGGAATACAGAGACGAAATAGACAAAAATTGATAAGAAATAGAGATTTGAAGTCATTTTCTTGTAGATTGGTGAAACAAAATGAGCATAAATATGTTTGAATGTAAGAGCATTTCTAGAGATGGGAGGAGTGGTTTCTATCAAGTTCATTTGGGGGTAGAATTTTAGTTAATAATTAAAATGTAAATATTACTACATTAAAATGTTTAATTAATTTAAAATGTATAAATCAAAATATTTATTTTTATGGATTGTGCTATGTGTACATAATGGTGTACACAAATCATTGTACCCCTCACATGGAGGAAGGCACACATACAATAAAATATTCATAATCCCCTTTCCATGTAAGGAGAGTGTAATGTAATGTGTACACTATAACATATACACATAGAATAATCCTATTTTCACAGGTACACTACCTAATTTCACGTTTTGTCAAAGAAAGTACGAAGGCCCAAATAACACGGACCAAAAAGCCCATCAAAATTAGTTCATTTACTAATGGGTCCGGGTAGAACCGCTCTATTGGTGACTGCATCAGGAAAAACCAGGGTTCTACAAGTTCTATTCTCGCGCCACACCTTAAACACTGGCTGAGAATTCCAAATTCCATAACCCCTAATTCTTCATTTGATATCCATTTTACAATTAGCTGATTCAATGCTGATTAAGATAATTTAGTAAAGATTAGACACAGAAATGGCGGCTTCAAGGATGTCGGTGGCGGCGGCAGTGTTGGCGGCTGCGGCTTCCTGTTCCTCGCTCTCTAATCGTGCTTGTGCCGATCCGCCGTTCCGATTTTCTCCTTTCTCATCTTCTCCACCGTCATCTTCTGCTTCGGTCCCGCAGGCTCAACCCGCAGTCGATGATTCGAAAGGGGGGTTCGATCCAGAATCGTTGGAGAGAGGGGCCAAAGCTCTCAGAGAAATTAATAGCTCTCCTCATGCCAAACAGGTAATTATTATTTTCCGAAGCAAGCTTTCTTATATTGATCAAACGAAGATGGATTGTTTATGTTCTGAAGAAATTAGTTTGTGTTGGTTATTTGGAAGAAGCATTTTGGGAATTTAGCTTGAAGTAAGATTTTATGTATGTTTTTGAAGGTCTTTGAGGTGATGAGAAAGCAGGAGCAGTCACGGCTAGCGGAACTGGAAGCGGAGAAGGCTAATTTTGAGGCCATTCAAGCTCATGGTGATATCGTGAGTTTTTAGTTTGGTAAATTAAGTAAATCATTTATAAATGTTGTTAATTTTTGGTGTTTTCCATTAAGATTGATAGTTTAAATGCTTAACAAGTATTGAGTTTTCGACTCATTTTGGGCATTTGTTTATTTATTTACTTTTCTTGGAGAGAACAGTGGAAAGAAAATGTAGGTGGTGATAGGTAAATCTCTGTCCTTGCAGAAAGAAAATTATTTCGGATATACAGAGAGAGTTTATCTTTTGGGGATCATTTTTTATTTTTTGAAGAGCTTAGGATTACACTTAGGTATATGCTTATTGCCACCTATTTGCATTAGTACTTTGATGGTAGAATTGGCTACACATATTGTATTTTGGTGATAGAAATATTCTTTTGTTGAAGAGAATAAATGCTTGAAGCATGGAAAATTTGTTTTTGTGATTTTACTAAAACTTTATGCATTCATTGTCACCTATAACATGTGCTTGTATCTGCAGGAGAAGCAGCGAAAATGGGCAGAAGACCAGAGGAATCTGTATCAACAACAAGCACAAGCTAAAGCGCAAATGCTGAGATACGAAGACGAGTTAGCTCGAAAACGAATGCAGGTTTGAACACTCACGCTTCGTGTCCCTCATTATGAAATCTAGTGTTAAGTATGTGTGATGTGAATTTGGCGAGCTTAACTTGAGTTGAGTGGAAGCATGAGTGTTTTACTTTATTGACTTGCATAACCCATGTGACTATGCTGATGTTACCTCCAGTGTTCATTGAGTATAATTTAGTCGCACAATTCAAGTTAACTGGACAATGTTAACAATTATTAATGTATAGAAAAATCTTTTACAAAGTTCACTTTATCGTCAAGGCTCAGACTCCATAATGTTTATAATTTTTGTTTGCTGCATAAATCTTTTACAAAGTTTACTTTTTCTTCTATCGTGAATTCAGACTGGTCACGAGGCACTAGAACTCATAATTTTTATAATTCTTGTGTGCTACAAAAATCGCTTACAGTATGCTTTATCATGAATTCAGACAGATAACGAGGCTCAGAGACGTCATAATGCTGAATTAGTGAAAATGCAAGAGGAGTCATCCATAAGAAAAGAACAAGCAAGACGAGCAACTGAGGAGCAGATGCAAATTCAGCAGCGACAGACTGAGAAAGAGAGAGCTGAGATAGAACGTGAAACGATAAGAGTAAAGGCTATGGCTGAAGCTGAAGGTCGGGCTCATGAAGCAAAATTGACCGAGGACCATAACAGGAGGATGCTTTTAGAGCGAATAAATGGTGAAAGAGAAAAGTGGCTTGCTGCAATCAATACAACTTTCGGTCACATTGAAGGTTTGTACTGACCAAACTTTCTATAATCTTCAAGTTAAAGACCTAAAGTGCAAGCTTATGTTGGTTACTGACGTTCCCTTGTAGAAATTCTCATTTCTCCCACTTGCTACAGTATTGTACCTTCAATTTCACCCAAATTAACCCTAAAATCTTCTCAACCTATTCTTGTTTCTCTTATATATGTTTCTGCAGCCTGAGTCGTTTTACGTTTTTACTTTTTTGATTTATAATAACATTGGAATTAAGATTATTAATCATGCTAGTTGGTGAATCTGAATTTTAACTTTTTCTTTATATCTTGGATGCACAATAGCCATAAGGATATCATACCATTTATATATATTGATCCCAATGTCAGATGAATAAGGGAAAAGATGTTGGAACGAAGGATTAGGTGATCCAAATACCAGAAAGAGATAAAACTTCGAATGTTTAGATGCTGGGTATTGAATTTTCAGAAGTGCTAGTTTTAAATCTTGGAAGGTGATTAGATAGTTTCTACACGGGGAGTCCTTTAAGCTGAAGTGAGATTGAGATGTGTGAGCCTAAGGAATAAAGATGAAGCAGTCGTCCAAACATGAAGATGCATGCGCGTATGCATAAACACACACGCGAGGACTGGCTAGTTATTGCTTTTGTAGTGGAATACTTACATGTTTATTACATTGATCAAATTTGTTTCTATATTTATTACATTGTTGTCAATTTAAGAGCTATAGTACATATAGATCTAATCAGTTGTTACTTCCCTATAATCTGCAGGGGGTTTTCGGATTCTATTGACTGACAGGAGTAAGTTGTTAATGACTATTGGAGGGGCTACTGCATTAGCTGCTGGAGTTTACACTACCAGGTCTCTGCACCATTCGTCCTTCTATTGCCATAGTATTAACTAAATCAAAATTAATTTGTGGCAGTGTTATGTGGTATCTTATCTGTTGATATAATAATGATGTTTAAAAGTAAAGGTTTCCGGTGAGACTTGTAAGATTGCAAATGACCAGAGGATGATTTTTCCGAACATTTTGCTCCTTTATATATTTGGTACAGATAAATGATATTAAAATTTTCAGAGATAATAAGACAATTGCACCAGCCATGCAGAACTAGCAAAAAATAAAAAATAAAAAATAAAATAAAAATAAAAATAAATTCAATCTTTGAGCTTTTTCCTGTTCATATGGTATTCGTGGACACTGCTGTAGTTGACCCAGTTTCCTGTAGACTTGTATACACCAGAGTAGGGTTCAGTTTTACTCATTTTTCCACAATAACATTATAAATTGGGCAATAAATAGAAAAATATCAGCCATTGCATCATTGTGTAAGATTATGTTCTTTGGGGAAACATGAGCATTTGAACTATTGTCACACACAGTATGTGTAATTGCAATATGCTATTTACTGCGCGTACCTGTCTTTATATTTTCTTCAATCGTTATGTTATTATCACTTGTGACCTTCTACACACGACTTGCGAAATATCCATGAATAATCTGTCAAATGAAGATTTTTGTTTATTGACTGTCTAATTTATAAGTATTAGATCTCATTTGCCAGGGAAAATCTGTTGATTCTCTTTTCATGTTTAAATTTGTTGATTCTGATTCTGTTGTTTTTGTGCAGGGAAGGTGCCAAAGTTACATGGGGATATATCAATAGAATTCTTGGGCAGCCATCTCTGATTCGAGAATCGTCCATGGCCAAATTTCCATGGTCAGGGATAATTTCTCGAGGATCTAATAAGATGCTTAATTACAGTACCGTTGCAAGGGCAGCTGCACCTGCGCAAAATAAATCTCCTTTTGGAGACATCATTCTGCATCCTTCATTGCAAAAAAGAATAGAACACCTTGCTCGGGCTACAGCAAACACTAAGAGTCACCAAGCTCCATTTCGTAATGTGCTCTTTTATGGGCCTCCTGGAACTGGTAAAACTTTGGTTGCAAGGGAGATAGCTAGAAAATCGGTATAATGGATGCTTTCTTTCTCTTGGATCTTGATTGATGTGTGAAAATTAATTTCCTTGCAGAAAAGTTTGTTACTGAATAAATGAAGAATGAACAATTTTCCCTAATAAATAGACTTTGAAAAGCTGCTTCCTCCTTGACAATACACGTCAATTCCACCATTCTCGATTGGAATACAGATTTTGCATTCTGTTTTAGTGAGTCATATTGTCAAGATTATTATATTAATATTAATGGGGAAGGGTTTTACATAGATTAAGAATGTGTGTTGAGTAAGAGCAGAGCTGGATGCTTTTCAGCTGTAGGAAACCAGGAATGGCCAAATGGAAATTCATTGAGTTCATAGTTACTATCATAAGAAATCTCCTGCCCGCGCGCCCTTTGGATAGGGGCGCTACAACAAAGAAGGAAAAAAGAAAAAAGAAAAAAGGGCATTCTGAAACAAATACCGGAGGCGTCAAACTCATCCATAGTTGGAGAATTAATATTTGGGAAATATTATGGTCTTTTGAATGTGTGACTGACATTAATGAAGATTAGGTGTAACTGCCCCTTGAATTATATGGTCATTACAAGACTTTTCAATACCGTTTGGAAAGACTTAAAAAATGGTTTTTATGTTCTCACCTTCCCTGCTTTTGCATTCTGCAGGGTTTAGATTATGCCATGATGACAGGAGGAGACGTTGCACCACTGGGTCCACAGGCTGTTACCAAAATCCATGAGATATTTGATTGGGCAAAAAAGTCAAGAAAAGGTTTACTGCTTTTCATTGATGAGGCTGATGCCTTTCTATGCGAGTAAGTTGTTTCATTTACAACAACTTGTAAAATTTATGCATTGCTATTTATATTTTATTACTTTATATTTAATATGGACCAGAATTTCGTTAAGGATTGATTGCTGCTTAAATAGTTTATCAGACAAGTTGAATGGATGAGTTACAATTTACTGAAGCTTCAGAAGTCATTCATACAATAATAATATGCTAATGACCAGTTGCCCACACCTCATATTTTACTTACTTTTACCATGTATGCAACTCAACATAATTTCAAAAGATAAATTATGTTTATGTTTTCGTTTAATCTTCCTCCTCCTGGTATATCATAATGATATTGTTGAAATATCCCACTGCTCAGCTTGCAAATAAAATATAGTAATTCTAGCTCCTACATGCTCCATACTTGCATTAATTTCAGACTGCCCTCTTTTCTCCCTTGTGATGTGGTGGTTGGTAAATACCTTAAGATTTTAGCATACCTAGCTCAGCTTAAAAACTTACTTTTAATCAGCAGAAAGAAAAACAGTAAACTATTAAACATCAAAAGTTACTTAAAGGTAACTTCTTTTTTAAGCTTGTCCGAAAATGCTCTTCAAATGGTTCGATACTTAAAAGGATGGTTTACAAATTTAGAGCTTTATCATGCAAAAGGCATCGTCTTTACTCAGACCTTTGATATCGAAGCCAATATTTAATGTTATTGTTTTCTTTTCTTTTCGTGTAGACGTAATAGCAAACACATGAGTGAAGCTCAACGGAGTGCTTTGAATGCTTTGCTCTTTCGAACTGGGGATCAATCTCGAGATGTGGTTCTTGTTCTTGCCACAAACAGACCAGGAGATCTTGACAGTGCTATTACCGACCGTATTGATGAAGTTATTGAATTCCCACTTCCACAAGAGGATGAGCGTTACAAACTGCTGAAGCTGTACTTGAACAAGTACATTTGTGGTGAAGAAGATAGCGAGTCCAAATGGGGACATTTGTTTAAGAAGAAACCAAAGAAAATAACCACGAAAGATCTGTCGGATGATGTCTTACGAGATGCTGCACGGAAAACAGAAGGTTTCTCGGGTCGTGAGATTGCGAAACTCATGGCCAGTGTTCAAGCTGCTGTATATGGACGCCCGGATTGTGTCTTGGATTCCAATCTATTCATGGAGATTGTGGATTACAAGGTTCAAGAGCATCACCAGCGAATAAAACTAGTATCTGAAGGTGGTGAATCGGCTTAGGATTATTCCTATTATCTGGAAGAGATATGGGGTTTCCGAGATCATCCGAATAATTCGGAATTCGTTTATTTAGTAATTGATTCGGTTGATCGATTTTGTTTAGGTAATCAATAACTAGATTCTTGTGGTGCTTAATGTACATTTTGGTTATGATGAACATACAATAGCTAATGTAACTTATTCTTGTGCTGTGATTCAGCATTGACATTTTGACTTGTGTGCCTGATTTGGTCAATGATTAGAACTCGGCAAATTTCCTGATGAGGTTTATGTGGAGGAACAGACATTGGCATACATGGAACGGTTGGATGGTCGGCTTTCAAAGAAATTGATGTAACTTTTGCGTTTGGTGTCTGTTTTGGGCCCATAACCCCATTTCAGAAAGGTAGCGAGCGTTTCGGCTTGAACTCACTGCTTCGCCATGACGTACGAGGGTTTTTGGGCATTTGAAGTCGTTCAGTGTGTCAAAACAGCATTTTTAGTTTTTGTGTTATTTATTTTCAGCATTTGTTATTTTCATTTCGTAGCCCAGTCCATTTTGGGACTGCTGGCCCAATAGGTTATCTTTTCTTTCATATTTAAGACGCTGCAAGACGCCTCCTAGGGTTTTCTTGGTTGTTCACGAAATAATAAAACTTTGTTTCTGAATTCAATCTGTTTGGTTATTGTTGTCGTGTATTTGTAGATTCAATCTACATCATTTCCAATGGAAATTCAAGTCTTCAGTCTTGCGACCGGGATCTAGATGTTTAGCTGTAAGATTGCAGCAGGAGATTCTTGTATTTTGATTGGGCAGTAATTTTAAATATCTGAGTAAAAACGTGAGAATATTTTTGTCTTTTAAAGGAATATCAAAGGATTTAAGTCTGCTTCCTCAAAGGAGGTTCGAACCCATGGCTTGAGAAAGCTCAAGTTTAACCACTAAAAACTGTGTTAATAGTTAAATCTAAGGGCGTTTTTTATTGCAAACATAGAATTTGTATGAGAAAATAAATTTTAGTTAATTCGGTTGTCTGTAACTTATTTGCATAGAAATTGTTAAATGTGTTTGCTTGATTTAGTTTTCAACCTAGAAAATATTATACTTGTTTGTTTTTAATTGGTGGGTAGATGAAAGAGAATGAATTGAAAAGAGAGTGAAAGAGAGATTGAATTCCTTGAAAAATAAAATTTCAATTTTCCTGAAGGAAATATTTTTTCTTGATTTTGATGAAAATATGGTCATATGACTAAAAGTAGAAATGTTTTCCATTTAAAAAATGTGAGTCAAAAGTACAAAAGTAATTTTTTGGCGTGTTTATGATGAGTTTGATAAAATTTTAAGTTTATGTTCAAAATGTTTTATTGTGAGAATATATAGCTGAAAATGAGTTTGAGAAAGAAAGTGTTGTTTTTTAATGGTTGTCAAACATGGATTTAGTTATTTTTGTTTATTGATCATTTTGGGAGTAATTTTGGTATTGGACGAGAACGGACGACAAGGAATGAGAATCTATATAAAAAAGGAATTACAGTTGGATGGAATATTGAATTCGATGATCAATCTATCAATTTTGGAAGTTGAAGGACTTGCAAAGTAGATAAAGGACATGGACTGAACAACGAAAAGAAATTCGGAATCCGTAGCAGCAATCCCCAATCTTTAGAAAACATGCGATCATAGGCATATACCTATGCGATCGCATAGTTAAAGTCCAGGTACCTGAACTACAATTTTTTAGAACGCATCAATTTCTCAAGATTTGTACCTCAATTTAGGATTTGAACATTAAAGATCACAATTAGGCAAGAGATACTACCAATCAAGGAAAAATTGAAGATCTTTGTAGAAATTTGGGTGTCAAGGAGCAACAAATTACTTGGATTAATTTATTTATTCCTTGTGGTGAACTTCTTGATGTTTTTCATCCTTTTATTATTTATTTTCAATATTATGATTGGCTAAATCTTTTTGTTGTTAAGATGAACGACATAACTTAGGTTAATATTTATTTAATTTAATAGATGTCATGCCGATTTGATTTATGTATTAATTGCTTGTTGTGTGCTTAATTGACATTCAATTGCTTAATCACTAATTGCAAGATTTAAGGATAATATTGAGATCTAAAGGAAATTTATGTATCTAGTTTGAACAATAATTAAATTATTAAAATTGAATGCTTTTACATGTGTATGAATTGACGTAGAAATAGAGCAAATTTGGACATGTGAATAACATTAATTTTGTTTGAATGATATTACTAACTACAAAAGGAATAAAGCTGCCATTGAACTAGATTCCCATTTAGAATTAAAACGTGAAGAGTGAATGAGATTTCGATGTTGCAAGGCAAGGAAACTCAGGGTAAATAAAGTTTCGTATAACAAAACCATTAGTGATTATCACTCTTGGAGATGGTAAGTTCTATAATCTGTTTGGATAGATTCTACCAAATAAAATGTAAAAAGCCCAACAATGGGCTATGAAGATGGATGAATATAAAGCCTCACTTCTCCTTATCCTCGATAGTCCAGGAATCCTTGTAGAAAGCTCTTCGAAGTCACAAGAATGTCGTTTTGATTGTGAATAATATGAAACATGGACTGAATGAAGTTGGGTTAGATGAATGTTAGATATCTAAGTGAAATCGAAATTCCTAACCACTAAATTCCAAAAGTCCTCCACAAACTCGTTAGACTTAAAAGTAATTTAATATAATTTAGCTATAAACTTAAAATCGTGATTTGATAATAGGCCACTAAATAAAATTAGACCGAAGCTAGGTTAAGATAAAATTAATAGTAAATACTTAGTTTCTGTAGGTATGATATTTGGACTCACTATCTACTATTATTACTTGCTATGATCCGTAAACTTGCAAAACAACGGGATCATAAATCTATCTTGAAAGAAATTATAGATTTACCTCACGTTAGTCTCAACAAGTCATTTTATGTGAATGTTTTGCAACTTTTGCATTGATATTGACACTATTCTATTGAATGAATTTGAAGTCGCCTGAATTAATAGTCTAAGAATTATAAATTAGAACTTGTAAATAATCTCTCACCAAGATCTCGAATTTTTGTAATTAAAATGGACAAAAGATTTAAAATTCTATGTTTTGAAAATCGACCTGGACTTTAACTCGAACAAGTGAGAGGGTTAAGGGTTTGAGGGTCGAATCAGGGTTGAACCGAATCAAACCGAAAACAATATAATTAATTTAAAAACTTCACATATTGATATGTATCCTGTTAAAATTTTACATTAAGTAAAGAGTATTTTTAATATCCATTATTTAACTTTTAATAATAATTTTACATCAAATTAATATTGAAGGAACCAAATGCAACTAAACATAAAATAAAAACTATATGGGCTACATACTAATAGAATTAAATGCGCCCAAATAAAGCAAATTAAACCCTATATACTAAACCATACATATCATTCATATCCTTCCTACCAACAATTTTGAGAGCGCAATGGCACCTTTAAATTGAGAGAACTTTTAAAGGTTCCTTCTCATTCCTTTTCTTATATTTCTTTGTAGATTTTTGGGCACCATATATTTCATCAAATAGCTTAAGATAAATGGAAGAAGTTAGTAGATTAGATGAAAGATTTGATTCTTCTTAGATTTTTATTTTTTTCCTCTTCAAAAGTAATCGAAAAACTTGGCAAAATTGCAATCAGGTCGCCACTTTTTGATTTCCCGTCTGGTTTTTCGATTTTTTGCCGGGGCTTTATTCATACGGGCTATTAACATCAACTAGACCGGTATCTGTCTGGTTCCCTATTTCTCCAGTCAAACCGATCGAAAGGATTATATTGAGATCTAAAGGAAATTTATTTATCTAGTTTGTACAACAATTGAATTATTAAAATTGAATGATTTTACATGTGTATGAATTGACGTAGAAATAGAGCAAATTTGGACATGTGAATAACATTAATTTTGTTTGAATGATATTACTAACTACAAAAGGAATAAAGCTTCCATTGAACTAGATTCTCATTTAGAATGAAAACGTGAAAAGTGAATGAGATTTTGATGTTGCAAGGCAAGGAACCTTGGGGTATATAAAGTTTCGTATAACAAAAAGTGATTATCACTCTTGGAGATGGTAAGTTCTATAATCCGTTTGGATAGATTCTACCAAATAAATGTACAAAGCCCAACAATGGGCTATGAAGATGGATGAATATAAAGCCTCACATCTCCTTATCCTCGATAGTCCAGGAATCCTTGTAGAAAGCTCTTCGAAGTCACAAGAATGTCGTTTTGATTGTGAATAATATGAAACATGGACTGAATGAAGTTGGGTTAGATGAATGTTAGATATCTAAGTGAAATCGAAATTCCTAACCACTAAATTCCAAAAGTCCTCCACAAACTCGTTAGACTTAAAGTAATTTAATATAATTTAGCTATAAACTTAAAATCGTGATTTGATAATAGGCCACTAAATAAAATTAGACCGAAGCTAGGTTAAGATAAAATTAATAGTAAATACTTAGTTTCTGTAGGTATGATATTTGGACTCACTATCTACTATTATTACTTGCTACGATCCATAAACTTGCAAAACAACGGGATCATAAATCTATCTTGAAAGAAATTATAGATTTACCTCACGTTAGTCTCAACAAGTCATTTTATGTGAATGTTTTGCAACTTTTGCATTGATATTGACACTATTCTATTGAATGAATTTGAAGTCGCCTGAATTAATAGTCTAAGAATTATAAATTAGAACTTGTAAATAATCTCTCACCAAGATCTCGAATTTTTGTAATTAAAATGGACAAAAGATTTAAAATTCTATGTTTTGAAAATCGACCTGGACTTTAACTCGAACAAGTGAGAGGGTTAAGGGTTTGAGGGTCGAATCAGGGTTGAACCGAATCAAACCGAAAACAATATAATTAATTTAAAAACTTCACATATTGATATGTATCCTGTTAAAATTTTACATTAAGTAAAGAGTATTTTTAATATCCATTATTTAACTTTTAATAATAATTTTACATCAAATTAATATTGAAGGAACCAAATGCAACTAAACATAAAATAAAAACTATATGGGCTACATACTAATAGAATTAAATGCGCCCAAATAAAGCAAATTAAACCCTATATACTAAACCATACATATCATTCATATCCTTCCTACCAACAATTTTGAGAGCGCAATGGCACCTTTAAATTGAGAGAACTTTTAAAGGTTCCTTCTCATTCCTTTTCTTATATTTCTTTGTAGATTTTTGGGCACCATATATTTCATCAAATAGCTTAAGATAAATGGAAGAAGTTAGTAGATTAGATGAAAGATTTGATTCTTCTTAGATTTTTATTTTTTTCCTCTTCAAAAGTAATCGAAAAACTTGGCAAAATTGCAATCAGGTCGCCACTTTTTGATTTCCCGTCTGGTTTTTCGATTTTTTGCCGGGGCTTTATTCATACGGGCTATTAACATCAACTAGACCGGTATCCGTCTGGTTCCCTATTTCTCCAGTCAAACCGATCGATCAAGTCAAATCTTTATAACCTAAAAATTTTAAGTATACATTAAACTTTTCATCCATGAATATATAGACGTTCTCGCAAATGATCATGAATATCAATAATTAGTTACTAAACTTTTCAAGTTTATCTCATTAGACTCTAAATCGGATATCATTCACAGAAACAAGATTGATTCATGCTATATTATCAAATATAACAATCTGTTTGATGTTGATTTTTTCTAATAAATAACATTTTTGGAGAACATAGCCAAACTTAGGGAAAAATTATGCATCCATATGCAAAATTATTTTATTGGGAGGATATGTATTGAAATTGAGTTTTAAAATAATATGTATAGAAAGGGACAAAATACTACTTTGTGCACTATAATCCACGGATAGAATGCATAAGCCTACTTAAAGAGTCAAATCTGCATTGTTCTTATTTTGAATCAACGAAATCGATTTTAGTCTTGACTTGCTGCCACCTAGCTCAGTTCGGCCAACTTGGCGAGTCAATCTTAGTTTAATATGGATCCGAACCACCAATATATTGAACTCTCGCGAGCCAGCTCACCAAGTTATCGAGGTCTCTTAACCCAAAGCCAGCCCCATTTAGAATAAATAGACAATATCTTACCCATTTTTCTAAGCCTCGGGTGGGATAAAATGTTGAAAAATAATTAGTTGCAATAATTTGTAGAACAGTAAAATGTAGACGTAAAACTAATCGATTGATCGAGTCTTGTGATAGTACGATATCTTAAAGTGAAATTGCACGTTGATAATTGCCGCGACATTTGTTGACAATCAATCCTAAGATACAACGATTACAAACCACTTGTGCAGCAATCACAAATAATTTCTCAGGACTCTCAAGTGTACTATATATATATATATATATGTGTGTGTGTGTGTAACACTCAAGTATTAAAAGTTCAAATTATGAAATTTTATAATTTTGTTTTTGATGTAATTTTTTCACAATCAGATGTGTTTATATAGACAGCATGTATCTAACCGCCTCCACATGATCCACAAATATTTGCAACATTTAATGGCTTATGGGTAATGGTTTGTTAATAATAGGTTGTTAAAAAACTGTCATATTACTCATGAAATAGTTTCGAAAATAATTAAAATAAAAAAATAATTATTTTAATAAAAAAAAACCTAAGAACCAAAGGCCCGCTACAATCAAAGACATTTTTTATTATTGCGTGACATGTGACCCGAACCTTTGACCTCCCGCACAAGTTCCATACCTTTAACCAATTTGGCACTTCATCTAAATTAATTAATTTTTTTACATATTAATATATATTGTATAAATATCTAACATAAAAATTATATTTTTTTAATATTATTATAAAAATTGATAAACTTGAAAGGTTGCGGATCACATAAATATATGAATAAAATTAATAATTGACTTCAATTTTATTGTTACGGAAGCCACAAAACCAAACACCGCCGGTATGTCCAATTCCAATAGTTCGGGTCTGCTTCCCAAGTTCCCATGGCCACCCGCAGGCCGCGTTGTGCACTTGGCCTTGGCGAGGAGAAAACCCGGCAAAACTGTCGCGGTAAAATACGGCAAAACAAGAAGATGGCAGAAATAGTCGTTCCATGTAACCCGGCAAAACTGCCACGTCTCACCCCGTTCTCTATAAATTCCACTCTCACGCAATCGAAAAGTGAAACCAGATTACGTCTTTGAGTTTTGAATTTTCATTTACGATAATGGGTAAGAGAGCGCTGCTGTTTGTGGTGTGGTTTGCGGTGGTGGTGTCTGTGGGCTGGTGTTGGGGTGAAGATGTGACGGAGACGGCGAAGTTGGCTACCGGTAATATGAAAGCTCGAGTAGAAGATTCCAAGCAGAGTGCTGCCGAGACGGTGCCGGATGTCAAAGAGAAGGCTGGTTCCTGGGCTGATTGGGCAATGAACAAATTATCTGAGTGAGCATTCGTTATATTTAATAATTTTTTATTGTTTCTGGTATTTTTTTGCCTGAATATTAGCACGTTTTCATATTTCGTGTCGAGCCTTGTTTCCGTTTTACATTTGACTGCAACTCGATGAGGCTTTTGTTTGATCCCCATTTTTGTTTTCGGAGAATGAGACTGAAAAAAGGGCTAAATGATGCCTAAGCATACCCGCCCCATCAATCCTTTCCTTCAATATCTTATGCCCATGTTTGATCTACGTTCTGGAAAAAAAAATGCATTGTTCGTATCAAATCAATGGAAAATATATGATTAAAAAATAAGGAAAAAATTTAGATTTACGTATAATATTATTTTATTGAAAAATGTGTAGCTAAAATGATATCAAATTACTGTTGAAGAATGTATTTTTTTTGAAAATAATGTGACTCAAACAAGCCGTATATAAGGTTAGGATGGATTGATCATATGAGACGATGTGGCCCTAAAAGATTTGTTTAGGGACTTTCATAGGGAAATGCACACTGGTATAGAGACTACATACGAGGGAAGGTCGGAGAGTGAATATGCCATGTCGATGTCTATGAGTGGGACTTTTTCTAGTCCAATTGATATTATAAGTCAAGTGTAAGAGACCCAAAAAAAAAAAAAAAAAAAAATGGATCTCTTAGTGCCAGAAATATCATTTACACGTTTTCTTTTATTATCGAGTAATATGCCTATATGTATCAATTTCAATACTATCTTCACATTCGCAAACCACAAGCGGAAAACAAGTCCTTGTACAAAAATAGAGGAGCTTTCGCTACATTTTCTTTCTTACAGAAAGAATGTTACTCCTTGAATTTGTTGGCTGGTGAAGGAAAACAAGGGCTGTATTCATTGCCTTTCCAAGCAACGTTGATTCATATGATTAATGATTTCAGGGGATTTGGATCCAGTGAAAATAGTGCAAAAGATGGAGCTCAAAAGATTAAAGAAAACGTCAAGTATGCTGCTTCAAAGTCCACTGATACACTCAATTCTGCAGCATATGGTGATTCTTTCTACATTTTTCACACTTCTTTCCTTTTTTCATTGGAATAATATTAACTCTTTTAGACAATGAATGTTGCTTTTCCAGAAACATCAAAGTATGCTTCGGAGAAGGCCAATGATGCGGCAGAAACAACATCCAAGAAAATAGGCGATGCCAAGGACTATGCTTCAGAAAAGGCAGGTCAAGCCAAGAGTACTGCGTCTGACATGGCTAATGATGCTAAAGAAATTGGGAAGGGCAAAGCCTATAAAATAGCTTAAGATTTGGCTAGTGAGGCAAGAGATAAAGCTCATGAGGCCCAGGACTCATTTAGGATTTTTGATAGGAGAGCCTGAAAGTACTTAATAAAGTTAATGTAATAGAATTTAGAGTTTAGAGTATTCCTATGTCTACAAAGGAAGTTGATAAAATCTATATCACTCATTTCAAAATTCAATTTTAAAATAAAAACAAATCATCGATATAGATCTTGTTAACACTTATTTTGTCATCAAACTTTGTCTATCTACTTTGTACAAGTAGATTAATTTTAGAATTTATATGTAATAAAAAAAGTCGTTTAAAGGACATTATTTATTTAAGTCGTTCTAGTATTGTTCTAGTATTTGAAATATAGTGTCTGTTTGGTAGTGATTATGAGAATTGATTTTTTTTTACTGTTAGAGAGAAAAGTGGGTTCCATATATGAGTGAAGAAGTCAAAGATTACGACTGAAACAGTAAAATAATGGTTAAAAAATTACAACCAAACGAGGATATAATTCATTTATAATAGACTAGATTGACCCATCATTTAAAGAATGAAAACAAGAAGATTGACCTTCCATTTGCAAATGCTTTATAAAAAAAGAAAGGGAAAATTGTAGTAGCGGTCTCAAATCTTTTTAATTTTTACAGATTTTACCCTAATCTTCAATTTGTATCACCAACGATTCTTAACCTTTCAAAAATGTGCATCTAGAGTGCAAATGGACAGAATCCGTCCACTTTAACGTTAGTTAACAAAAAAAATTATTTTGACCATATTTCATCTATTTTTAAAGGGGCAAATGACAAAGCTCAACTGTTAATGCCTTCGATTCCGATAAAGCATGCTAAGGAATGAACATGGCATCAAATACGATCGGTGATGCCAAGGAGAAGGCAAAAGATAATGCAAATAATGCTTATACCATTGCCCCTGATAAAACAAATCAAGCCATAGACGGAGCTTATGGTAAGGCCAGGAAGCTGGAGATGCTGTGAAGGATAAAGCATTTGATTCTTATGTGTTTGCCTATCAAAACATAAGAATGGTTTCAAATAAGGCTGATGGCGTTAATGAGATGACAGAACTGCAATGTCACACCAAAAAGATAAAGGTTTTGGGACCTATGAGGACACCAAATTAAACCTTCGAGAAACCTATGGATTGATTGTTGATACAATGATTGATCAGACCAATGAGAAAATACAAAGTAAGGAGACAATTTCAAAAGCTACAAGCAACATAAGAGCAAATATGAGAACCAACAGCAGAATTATGAGTAATTACTAGTAGGCACTACAGAACGCCTTCACCGTGGCATGGTTCTCGGGATCTTCAAGAGAGTAGCTTTTTATCTACCATTTTAATGCATTGTGCTTTGCTTAGATCATTTATTTGATTCACATTTAAGTTTTTGTTTGAATAAACCAGTGTAAGTCGTAAGGTTTAACAAATGCTAATAAAAATAATGCATCTTATGTAAAAGAAGTTGGAGAAAGAATCTCTCAACTTGAGCGAGAGAAACACTCACTTTGGTGTACCTTGCAATTTAGAGTTTTCTTTGTTTCTTTGGTTGAGTTTTGCTTTTGTTATGCTTCATCACACGTGGCTCCATGTGGTAAGTCCATCGAGGCCCATTTGTCTTTTGTCAATGACGAAGCCCTAAAGATAAGCTCATTGTCGCAAGTTAAAGCCGAAGCTCAACTATAGCACGTGATGACCTACACATGAGGATTCTGAATTTATGTAGGAAATCTTTCTGGAATGATTGATGAGACTTTTGTAATGAGTAAAATATCTTGTTGTCAGTTTAGGCAATATGGTAGCTGCTCTTTGTACAAGTACTGAATGCGCCACAGGCTAGAAAAGTCAAATTGATGCTTAGGATTGTGTGCTTCGGCCAAAGACATGAGGTCAAGTGGATTTTCATCCAATGGACACTTTTCATTTATAAGACTATAAATACCCTTGTATCATTTGAAAATTAATGCAAATCTACACACTTGAAGCTACTATTTGTTTTCTCTCTTGCTATTTATACACTTGTCTTCGCTTGAGTTTAATTACTTTGCTTTCTTCAAGTTATTGACAGTCATTTATTATTTTACAATCGATCATAAAATATATTACTAGAGTCTGAACATATTTGTCTCATATTATAAAGCATCTTTCACGTTCAAAACTGGAACATTATCGACTAGCACATGTCCATACGTGTTAAAATTTGCTTACGTGTGACAAATGGGATCGGTATCTTTTGTCCACGAACTCCTAATAGAAAATGAGATCAACAGATTAGCGCAATCTGTGAAAAATCATGCCATAACCACAAGCAACACCGTGAAAAAGCTTTTGAAAAAATAGTTGGACATCCCCCTTAAAATATGATTTGTTTTGGGGAAAAAAAAAGGCCACAAAAGTTGGAAAAAATTTAAAGAAAAATGAGTTTTGACCGTGATATTCCTCCTAGGATGATAAGGAAAAATAATGATAGAGTCCCTTAAGCAGCAGTAGTCGTACCAGTGGGTCGATACTGACCTCACCACACCATAGTAGCGATGGGGTGAGGATAGCTGTCCAACTTACTAGGGAGATAGCCACCATGGAATTTAATATGAGAAACATTACCAACTAAAATATAGCTATACAAGAACTCTTAATATAATGCAATGCTAAGGACGTTACCCAATCCCTCCTTTCACACCACATTAAGACCCACAAGAGGGTGAGGTGTAGAGCCAAAGAGCCCCATCCTCTAGGCATGCTAGAGGAGGTAGTCTCCTTGAAAGAAAAGCGAGAGTTGATATTTCCTCTAATTATGTGTTTGGTTTGCCCACTGAGGCTCCATTTGACATGAAATACAATTTTCCTCCTGAATATGAGCTAGACTGTTGTCCTCAAAGGTCCGTTAATGTATTTGACAGAATTAGCTTTGTAGAGTGGAGGCATTGACAGCCTCAACAACCCCCATTGCCTAGAAATATGCCACAGTCCCCACCTTCTATGAATTGGCAAATGGAAGAATGGTAAGAACAAGTCCACCGTGTGGACCTGTCTAGAAATATGCTGTAAAAGAGGGATGAGATGGCATGGCCCAAGCGAGCCCATCTCATACACCGCCAAGATATTAGGCTGACGAGGATGATGATTCCGATGAACCTAAGTGATATTGTGATCTTGACAATGATGATGAAAATTTACCTTTTTCATAAGAATTGAGAAATGCCTACCCGTCAAGTCATTATGTAATGTCAAAAATACCAAATTATGAGAGGAAAGGCGATTCGGATAAGCACTTGAATAGTTATGAATTCACATGAGCTCGAGAGATGCTACCCTGTTGTAAAATGTCAAGCGTTCCACCTGACTTAAGTGGAGCAGCAGAGATTTGGTATAACAAGTTACTTCCCAGAAGCATTAGAGTTTAAAACCACATTCTCAAAAAGATTTGCTGTAAGTAAAGAGGGGGAGACTCCCATCCAACATCTCCAAGACATGAGGCAACAACTCGAGAAAATCTTGAAAAGCTTCTTATCCTAGTTCACTGACGAGATGACGTACTATGTGCAAGTTATTGATCTTAAGGTATTGTCAGCATTCTGAGGAGGCATAAACATGAATGCCTTTTTTGGAAGGATGTACAGAATCAGGACCCAAGTTACCTATGACGTGTTGCTGGAAATGATGAGACGGAAATTTATCAATGAAAAGTTGATTGATCATAGGAACAGAGCTAGTAGAGGTATCCTACCTTAGCAAAGACAACATGGGAGAGTGCCGACCTCTCACCTAATGGACCATCAGTGGAACCAGGCTAGTAATGAGGTTGTTTCCAACTCGAGATAGACACTTTCCACATCCATCTTAAATGTGGTGCCCACATTGGCCTATGAAGATGTTATCCTTGAAACAAGCATGAAGCATATCGGGCCTCTACGACAGGGTCCCATAAAGGAAGAGGCCTGGGGTGAGGTTTGAAACCTAGAGGTAGGCTAAAAACTCCTCGGTATTGTACCTATCATCATTCCTATAGCCACGATACAACATGTTATAGAGATATCGCCCAACATCTTAGGCAGTCAAGCCTTCACAATTATACAAGTGACCACTCTAAGAAACAAGCCCCACTTAGGTGAGAGGAGGCTAGACCTTGCCATTAGAAGGTGTCCCTGCGACGGAGAAGGAAACATGAGGGGAAAAGACCCAGAGAAGGGCAGTGACGACGAAAGGACAATCTAGCTAATGCAGATGATGCCATATTCATGAAATTGACACAATCTTTGGCACACCTTATGTCAAGAACAATACGAGGAACTCCCAAAGAAACTACACACTAGAGGCCAAAGATCCCCTACTGACGAGTAACATAGTGGATGGTAGTTTTTAAGGAAGTCAACACCTCCCATTTCCTTCACGCAAGAGGATGCAGAAGGTGTCCAATTTCTCTATTGTGACGTCTTTGTTATAGGGCTATAATGGCCCGTAACATTTCAAAGAGATGCTGGTGGAAATGGCAGCTCTATTAACATTCTCATTGGAGCCATCTTTGACAAGGTGACTATAGATCACAAGTTAACCCCATCACTAGCCACTTACACAGTTTTACTGGCAATAGCATCATCCCAAGGAATAAGATAACACATGTAGTATAGATGGGAGAGTCACTCCAGACGTCATTGAACTTTATGGAGTTCTTGATAGTGGATAATAGATTAGACTACCACGAGGTGCTAGGCAAGCTTGCCCTAAAGGACTTAGAGCCATCACTTTCATCCACCATTTATGTATAGATTTTTTCACCGATTAGGGATTGCTATAGTTAGAAGCGACCAAAGAGAAGTAAGGGAATGCTATTTGAATTTGATAAGAAAAGTTGAGTTTAGGGATGTCAAAGTAGTAATAGTGGACATGGACATGAACATGCTAAACATCCTAGTGGAGTACGATTTTATAGCAAGGGAATGTAGAGATGGTGGATGTCCCTGAGGAAGTCTTCATACTTGATGAACTTGAACCTCGAATTATTGAGCTTGTGCCTCAAACAGTTCCCATGGAAGAGTTAGAAAGCTTTTAGACAGATACTCAGGACCCTACGAAGCTACTGCAAGTGGGAATTTGCTGTTACCTAAGGCCAAAGAAAAGATTAAAGACTTCTTATGCAGAAATCTGGATCTTTTTGCATGGAGGCATGAGGATATGGTGGCCATTAATCTCAAGGCCAGCTATCATCGTCTGAAAATTGATTCTACAGCTACCTTGCATAGATAGAAGAAAAGGGCCTTCAACCCTTAAAGGTATAAGGCCCTAAAGGAAGAAGTACAGAAGTCGATTCAGAAT